AAAGAAAAATGACAGACAGCACACCGCCCCGTAAGCGCCGAGGCCACAACGCAACGTTAAGCATTTGAAACATCGGCGCGCCTCCCCAATCATCAAACAAATATAACACCCCCGCTCTGGGGCATCAATCCCAATTCCACCAAATAGGCCGAAGTTTCCTCCTGTGGGAGGGCTATCTCCGCCTCCGTGGCCTGCTGCTTCTTCACCTCTATGTGGGGTAACTGTTGTTCTCTTTCCTCCATATCCCGCTGCGCTTGAACTACATCATATACTGCATCGCTGTGGTCAGTTTGAAGCCGTACGCCGCCCTTCTCGTTTGTGTCGCCACTGTTGCTGGAAAGCGACCGCAATTTTTCCGCGCTAGTATGTCGTACTGGGCAGCTTCAGTTTGCTGACTAATCACAGCGAAACGTTTAACAAGTTCAGCCTGTCTCAGAGCATAATCATGAGGTTTTCACGATGTATCGCCAGGGGGCTCTCCCGCGTCCAACATCTCTCGCCGTGTTCAGAAATGGAACCAAGCAATTATGCTCAACACCTGGGCATGAAGGTATACGACAACCCGCCATCCCGTTCAAAATTGCCGAATTGGTCAAAGGTCTTGTGCTGAGTTGGCCTTTCATGACAAGGCACGAAGGTGTTGGCATGAAATACCCCTCACAATGGCTAGAACAATTCCCACTCCCACACTTAACTGTAACTGGCGTAGCGCATGATGGCATGTCAGATCCGCAATCCGATCACTCGCCACGCGCTATTGGTTCAGAGATATACACAAGTACCGGCATCATAATACTTGCGACTGTTGGTGGCATCAAGAAACAAACATTTCCTGAATTCTACTCGAATGCTTCAAACGAGACAAAAAAGCCAAGCCAAGAAAAAAAAAGGTCATAGAACCCAACAAATTAGTTTGACACCCTTTCGACAGACATTCCCTTCAACCGCCCGCCCAACACCCCAAACCAAAAAAAAAAAATTCAAAAAAAAAAAAAAANTTGAGTGCAGAGACAACGAAACGTTACTTCAACACCTAGTGGACAATAAAAAGTAGCACAAGTGAAAGAGGGGCCACCACAAAACCAGAAACAACTGCCAGCAGCCAGAACAAGTGACAACGACAAAACACGAAGAAGGTAAAGGGGTGCCACCGTTTACACACCGGCAACCCAAGAACAGACCCTAAGGAAGCCGTCATAACACAAGTTATGGCTGCAAACAAAAAAAAAATCTGCCTTTCTGCAATAATCGTATACACCGCACCACGCAAAACGCACATTTCTCTCAAACAGCACGACACTGGTCGTTCAGCGCAGGCAAGACAGGCAAAACAAAAAAATCAACAAAATAAAGAGCACACCACCTTCACCACAAACATTATTGTCCTCAATCATACGGCTGTATCCCTTCACTCCACAGTGATTTTAACGAGGGCAGGGGAGAGGAGCGAAGAGGACACAATGAACAAACATAGTTTCCTCTTCCACCGCCCCAACATTTTTCCGATTCATCACCTTGTTTTCCCCCTAAAAAAAGCATAATACTTGTCTGATGCCGTCGTATATATCACTTCTACACTTCGAAAATGAACGAGTG